TCTGGAAAGTGCATTTAATGTACAAAAAAAATATAATTGGTGCATAATAAACAAAGACATCTTGCCTTGTGTCAACAGTACTCTGTGCACATCGCTACAGCTTCCTCCTACCCTGTGACTACTCTCGTATCTAGCTTTGCACAACAATGTTTGAAATAGTCACCCCCAAAGGCTGGTAGTCTTAAAAATGATACTGCTTTGGGCTGTGACTCATCACTACAATGAGAGACATGGAAGAAATTGCAAGATGCAATTCCTTATATTGCATAAACTTCAGCACTAATTTTGTGAGCTCCCTGCTGTCAGGTTGCACCCCTGCCTCCCCTTCTGTAAGGATGTGACTGCAAACAGAGGTGGCAAATGAGGTTATATCTTCTTTCTGAAGATGGGACAAAATCACATAGTACTAATAATAATCATCTAATATTTTTGTTTTCTGATTAGGATTTTTCCACATTGATGTTAAAATCTGTTTGAACTTTAGATGTAACTGAGCTGAATACTTTTAAAGGACACATTGATAATATCAGTAGATCGGTGGAAACTCAATCTAAATCCATCTGACAGTCAGCTCAATTCTCTTTATGTAACATAAATGTAAATATAAAGTGATTTTAACTCAGAAGTTAGAAACATTGTGCATTTTGTTACATATGTCAGGTGCTTGGCTTATCATATTTTAGGTTCATGATATTAATGAATGCCAGAGGACAATGACACCTCAGAAAAAAAAAAAAAAAAAGCCCAGAGGATTATGCTGAAACTGATAGTTTATACAGGGGTGACAGGCTTGATGGAATAAAGCACATGCTTAGTGTCAGTCTGGGTTAGTGCTTGCATGATTTCCTTCCATTAAAAGATAACATATGGGGGTCTTCAGAAGAAGGGAAATTATTTCAGGAACATGTTTAATGTGTTCCTTCTTGTGGTTTCATTGCCGCTTGTCTTTGGATGCATGTGAATTTGTCTGCCTGCTTTTTTTGGAGCAACTTCATGCCAGCCAGTATTGGATATATGGTGCATCAAGTCTGCATACCTCAGAAGAAATGATCTAATGGTTCAAGGCAAACAGTTAACTCTATATTTACTGATTCCTGTGCATTGCCATAGGAAGACTTGGATTTTGATGAATACATTTGCTACTTAGTTAGTTCTGGACAGTTTTAGCCAGACACTGGATTTCTCACAGACTATGTCCTGTCACTTGATTCAGCCCTGAGCAACCAGTAATTCATGCAATACACAGTGCATTGGCCATCGTCAGTCTCATGGGATTATGCCTGGTCAGTCTCATGGGATTATGCCTGCTCTCTAATTGGTGAGCTGAAACTTTTTGTGAAGGGCTGAATGAGTCCATTGGGACTCAGACCTTTGTACAAACATATATCAGTGTGAGTGTTGCCATAGCAAAGTGTGTTTGTGTATTATCCATCACAGATTGCATGTCTGCCTGAAGCAGCAGTGACTACTCTGGTGAATTCGTTTGCACATCAGTGCTTTCCAGGCCATCTCCTTGCACAAACTGTCAGCAAGTATTTTTGTGTCTGGGAATGAAAAGAGCAGACAGTGCATGGGTGATATTTAAACAGATGTTGAAGAAAAGTTTGTATTCTCCTAGTTGTCTGCTTCATGCACACCAGCTGAAAGAGAGAGGTTTTCATACCTCCCCTCCAAAGCTAGGGCCAGGTGGGTGAATCTGTCATTCAGCCAAACCTTTGTCCCTTGTCTTCTGTTCACCAACTTCAGCATAATTATATACCAATATGAATGTACTACTGAGTTTACGAGAGCAAGAAAAAGTTTTTATTTGCTGTTCCTTAAAGGAACAGATATTGCTGACATTTTTCTCTTCTCTTCTCTTCTCTTCTCTTCTCTTCTCTTCTCTTCTCTTCTCTTCTCTTCTCTTCTCTTCTCTTCTCTTCTCTTCTCTTCTCTTCTCTTCTCTTCTCTTCTCTTCTCTTCTCTTCTCTTCTCTTCTCTTCTCTTCTCTTCTCTTCGCTTCGCTTCGCTTCGCTTCGCTTCGCTTCGCTTCGCTTCGCTTCGCTTCGCTTCGCTTCGCTTCGTTTTCATTTTCATTTTTTCATTTTCTTTTCCTTTTTTATTTTTCATCCTGGTGATTTTTATGATAGATTCTGTAAAGGGCAGGATGGGGTCACTTTTTACTGGCTTCAAATGTTTTTTTTGTGCAACTTTTTTTTTTTTTTCTGTTTCCCATAGGGCAAAAATTTATTCCACATTGAAGAAGACAAAATTCTGTACCTGCCACCATGGTGCCAGAAGGCAATACTTAGCATGCCCCGCAGGCCCTTTTCTCCTAGAATTCACATTTTATTGTATTACCAATAACATGCTTAGTTCATATTATTCACTGACTGTGGAGCCTAAGGTAATACGAAAGGAAACTGAAAGTGAAACTGAAATACCTCTTTGGTGAGTGGAAACAATCCAGTTTGACTGCAAGAGAGTTATCTTATTCTCATCCTAGTAGTTTATTTCCTAGAATTTACGGTGATAATCCATCAAAGTATGCACTAAATATTGTAAAATAAGTTTAACATATGCTCATAGCCACGAGGCCTTTTTCTGATTTGGCTTTGAATCTGGAAGATGTTAGCTAAAGGCTGTGGACTTAACTCCAGTGTTTAAGTAACACAGCCTTTATGGTTGTTGTGCTTCTAAGCAGCTAGAGCACAGATTTAACTGGTATTTACTACACAGTCCCAACTCCTGAAGCTAAGGAGGTGAGCCCATTGCTGCTGGTGGCACAATGTCCATAACAGGGATACAGTTTTCAGTCTCATCCAGAGAATGCTGGTGATGCCCTCTTCTTTTACAGGAATATTGAACTTGTCCTTGTCTTGCTTTTGTACCTGAAGACAGGTAAAATGTTCCCGTGTAACCAAAAACTCTGTTGATGACTCTGGCAGTGCGTATGAGTTTATATGAGACAATGAGCTGCCTTGATGAGGTTGCCTGACTCACTCCACCATAACAGCAATTAGACTGAATGCAACTTGTTGTATTTACATAGCACTGTGTGGTCTTGGGCATTGAAGACAGTTTCGTGGAAACTCACAATTTCTGAGTAATCTTGCCTTTCATTTCCCAATAGCTTTTAGGAACACGGTTGCTTTAATTTCCCGTTACTGCTTTAGCTGCATGTTGTGAGGGTGTTTGCACAGCTCACTGTGGGTGAAGCAGTACTCAATGTCCAGCACGTTCTTAATGAGCAATGTAAGGAACCACATTCCCTGCAGCAACCTAGGGTTTGACGTATGATTTCCTGGAGAGGATAATGGGGAATGTATTATTTCTATTGCATCCAGTTACTCACAGATATAAAAGCAGGGTACTTCAAATGTTTGCTTTTAGGGTGGATTGAAACAGGTCTGAACTCTATTTTGTAGAAAGTTTATGAAATGATTTGTAGAATGAAAAAACTTTTTAAGGTCAGTGGGTGCTTTAAGACAGCTTAGGCACCCTGGGTATATTTATATTGGTTCTCTGTAGATTCCAGATATATGTAGCTGATGGAGGGAAACAGGTGGCTCCTAACCCCTGCAACAAGGTTTTGAGGACATAAGTAGGGCACCTATTTTTGTCCACTAGCAATGCATTAGGCTGAAGTGTCTCTGAATGGTGAGGAGGTGTTTTTGCAAGCCAAGGGGAGAGCACCAAGTGACCTGTAGAAAATAAATAATGTGGGGTGTCTGAAAAGGTGTCTGCCTTGGCAGCTGCTGCTTCCTGGGGAAATCCGCAGATAAAAGAGCTGGTGGCTTTGTTTAATTGTAAGGCTCTAATTTATTTGAGATGGACCAATTTAAAGGTGGGTATTCAAAGGACAAATGTCAAATCTTAGTGTCTGCAGTCACATTAACCCATAGACGTGAAGCTGTGGGGTCAGTTTGACCATGGCAGTATGGAAACTGGGCTGATTGCTTGAAGTCCATGTATGAAAGCTGAATCCACCAACCTCAGGGAGAGAGGATGGGATGAATCAGGTGTTCTGTGATGGAAGAGGCAGAAGTTTCATATCCGTCAGAGAGGGAAATCAAGGCTGCCACAAGGCTTCTCCTGAGAAGGAGTCTGGACCCTACTTCTGGGAATAGCCAGCTAAGTAATAAATTATATGTGGACAGCCTGTTGTTTAGGACAGGGTAACTTTCCCAAGCCTTCAGACACACGTGCCAGGAGAGGTGTATGCTGTACGTAAAGATGAATGAATGCTGCAAACACTTTCCATTTGAGCACGTGGCATTTGAAGCATCTGTCTCAGAGTGTCCCAGAGAGCTCTGGCCAAGCAAATGTCCCATTATATTTAGTTTTGCTTCTGCTGGGAGATAAACACCTTCTGGTTTATTGTTAGTAACAGAACAAGGTCTCCAGGATGCTATATTTGTTTCCAAGCTATTTGCCACTTTACGATGCGTCGGGTTTAGCACTTAGCTCACCACATCAGCAGGGGGATTTAGCCTCTGTCTGACGCAGCTCCTCGTGGTGCCCCGCTGACGAAGACGGCTGCCCTGCAGCCCTCCGAGTGCCACCGGGTCAGGCCGTGGCAGCTGGCCGTGTTTGTGGGCTTGCTGCAGGGCCTCAGCACGTGGCGGGTGCATGCTGGTGGTGGCTGTGTTGTCACTGCCCTCCTCTGAGCCACTGGAGGCAGCAGGGCAGCAGCTCTTTGCAGGTTTAGTGCTTCTGAGAGTAGTTAGCACTGTTTTACTGTTTTTTTTTTTTTTTTTTTTTTTTTAATGTCTGAAATGACGAGCTGGAGACAATATTTTTATCTGCAAACACCAACCCAGGAAGGTTGCTTAATCCAGCTGTGGAACAGGAGATTACTTGAGACACCTTCCAGCTTTATTTCTTTTATGAAAAGTCTTTTTCATCCAGGTTTAGAACAAGCTTGTAAAGCATTTGCAATAAGTGATGATTAAATTAACTAAAAGCAGCTTCTGTTCTCCAGATTTTCTTTTTTTTTCTTTTTTTTTTTTTTTTTTCAGGATGCTACTGGACACCACCACATACTGAGGACATGTTGAAGGGATCATCGGAGCAGCACTGAGGCCAAGCTCCATGGCAGGAATGCCAAGCTGCCACCCACGGCTCACCATGAACCCCTAGCCAAAGCACCCAGGCTGGGAGCTGCTACCCTCAATGGAAAACCGGGCAGGTTTCCACTTGGGTCTGCCTGGGCTGCACCACAATTTTGTTGCAAGAGCACATTTTTGGGAAAACTTCCATTGAAATTTTAAGACAAACGAATGGAAAATTTCCATCTCTACCACTGACTAGACCTCTTAGCGTGTAGTTGCTGACTAGGTCTAATGACTATTATGTCAGCCATTGAGAACTAGCCGAGCATGCCAAGGTTTACTGAAAATTAACACCAGAGCCAGCTGCTTTGTGGCTTATCTAGTTCTGCTGACCTTCTTTCAGATAAATGTTGTTTAACATCATCTTTGATTACTTATGGACTAGAGAGGACTTTGCCCTCTAATGAGTGTCCCTTGTTCTGCTTCTTTCCAAATCCCAAACTGATATATTTATTGATAATTTCTGTTTTTTTTTTTTTTTTTTTTTCTTTCTATATCATTCCTGACATTCTTATCATGTCCATTGAGTGACACAGCTCTATGTCTGCTAGAATCCCTAATACATTTTTTATTTTTTCTCCTTGAAGGCATGCTTTTTTTCCTTTTCTCTAACTCCCCTCATTCACTTGCCTTAAATTTATCATGTTTAATTACACAGACTCCTGATGCAAGAAATTTTCAGCTCACAAAACATGAAGACAGAGCAAAGGAGAATTAAAGGATGTGTAACCACAGGGAGAAGATCCAGGAGAGCTTCATGTCCCAGACCAGCAGCAGGGCAGACAGAGGTGGCAACATGGACTCCAGGCTGATGGTGCAGGAGGGGAGGTGAGAAGATGCTGAGGGCAGCCTTTGGATGCAACATGGGTATCATTCATGCTGTGGCAATTTAACAAGTTTTTGGGTCTACAGTGCCCCCTGGCTAGTGTGCAGGCTGTGAGTGAGGGCTAGGGGGCACGGGGAATGTGGTTCTCATATGAGCTCATTGGTGCTAGTTAGACCCATATATTTTGGGCTACGATTATACACCAGACAACTATGTAACAGCAGGAAAACCTACAGCTGCAGCGATAGGAAACATTAATACAGAGCGCTACCATCTGGTGCGCGCTCCCAGCAGCGGCTATACTTAGCTGCTGTGCTGCGTATCCCGGCTAATCCCCTGCTCTGAAGTGCGACACATTCAGTGTTGTGCAGATAACCTCACTTTTAATGCCAGCCATTCTCTACCCGGTGATGTCTGTGCAGCTCCATGAATAGATACAAAACAGGGTACGTAACAGGGTTACTATATGAAGGGGCTGCCATATCTGCTCTCTTGCTCATCTGCAGATTGGTGGATACACAATTTCCTCTCCTAAAAGGGAACACAGGTCTAGTGATGCTCGTGTTCAGGCTACCAGATTGTCTCTGCTTGATTTCCAAAATATTCCTTCTCTTGCTATCCTAAAACAGAAGGAAAAAGATCTGCAGTCCTTGAAAAAATTCATTTATTGTACATTAGTGGATGGTTTTGTAATAAAAGTCCTCATTGTCAACATGACAGAACAAACAAGAAACTCCAACATCCACCATTCTCAGCAGTGCTAACAAGTTACTGTGCAACACCAGCCTTACTCCCACCACGAGCAGCAGCTGCATATTGCTGTGAGCAGCACATGTTAACTGCAATATCTGACATTTTGCAGACTTTCTACCATTAACTTGGACACCAATAGCTTTGTGCCATGGAAAGGTAGTGACTTGTGCCATTGTCCCATACTCTTTCTGTTACTTTTCTTGAGGTCATATATATTTTAGGTGAGATACATGAATTTCTCAGCTTCTACACACAGCTGCAGACTACATGTACTGTACTTTTGCTCTGAAATGAAAATGCAGTTACAATTCAGTCCTTCCATACACATAACTCAGTAACTCCAAGAGGAAGAGAGGTGTGTGGGTGTATTGCTATAACTCTAGTCCACTTTATATGTCTCCTCAGAAATAAAGCTACATTCCTGGTATTAGTCTGCTTAAAATAGAACAAAGTGTTATTGGAACTTTTTTTTTTTTTTTCTTTTCTTTTTTTTTCTTTCAAAAATGCAAAACCAGACAGCATTCCCAAGGAAGCGTGCCCCAGTGTATTAAGGATACAGTACTCAAGTGAACATAAGAGAGTGCTCATAAAGACAGCACTTGGCAGGGAACATATCTCTGGTACACTTTTCTAGTCAATTTGTGTGTGTACTCACATTTAGGTACATGAACACATAGACACACAGAGTGGATTTTGTGTGAAACTGACAAGTGGGCAGAGACATTTTTTGTGTGCTCTTTGGCTTTCGGCATTCACATGTGCATGCAACAGATTTCTAAGTTGGATAATGCAAACTCCAATAGCAGGAGCCTGGATTTGTGTAAGCATGTTAAACCCATCGCACCTTCCCACTTTTTCCCTCTGCTATGAAGCTTGTGTAACCTCTCTGACTATTCTTCCTTGGAGAAAAATCGTATGAAGTGTATATGTAGAGTGGGTACCCCACAGCACAGACAAAATTGCAGTCTGGAGGGTACTGAGTGCTAATTAAACATCCTTATAACATGGAGCTTCACATTTTTTTTCTCTCTTGCACAGCTGCATAGCATGATACTCTTGAGATTATCAGTAATTTCTTTTCCTTCGCATGCTATTGCTTAATTATGCATGCTGTTGGATGCTGGCATATCCATAGCCAAGCTGAGATACAGCAACAGAGTGAGTTACCCAAATTTGTGTTTTACAGTGGTAATACAGAACTTTGATGCACATATTAAAAATTCTCAGGAGGAAAACATCTTGCAATTTATTGTAACATAAGTAGTAAACATCTGAATTTGTTTTTACACAGGTAATGGCTGGGGTTTGCAACAGGTATATTTCAAACACAACTGAATAAAGCCGAACCTTTTACAAACCCACCAATCTAGAATGTTTTCTTCAAAATGATATTAAATGTGTGGCTATGAAAACAGTGATGTGTAAAAAAAATCAAAAATCATGTACCATAGGGTAACATTTTTATAACTGGAGGAAAACAAAGGATTATATACATAAATACACATATTTATATATATAGCAAATTACAGTTTCCTGCACTGAACGTTTATCAAATAGACAAGTACTGAACAATACTGGATAGGGTGCTTTGCCACACCTTGTGGTCTCCTTAAATTCCTGTGAGAATGGAAGACAAGTTTCTATGGACGATTCAACTTGTTCAGTGATGCAATCTCACACAAGAATAAAAAAAAATATTAAAGAAAACCAAAAAATCCACTCCAGAAGTGCCTGACGTTTCCAACACAGGCGTCTTTCACGGCAAAACACAAATGCTCAGCTGTTCTTCAAGCACTTGCCCCAGCACAGGGGCTCCTGTGCAAGAGAACTTTATCATCACGTGCAGCCATCACGTGCTGAGGGTGACAAATTTGGGCAACATATCTGATGCTCAGCTTTTTCCACGGTGCTTTGGCAAGCTGTGCCAAAGCTGTCACCTTTCAGATAGACTGATCAGTGGAGAGCAGTCACCTTTCTGATCCCCTACAGAAACGGTACCCTTTATCTTGGAGCTGGGCAGCTGCTCCTATGTGCTTTGGGTACAAAACAAGGCACCAGCTGGTTTTCTGGCTAATTGCCTTTTCAGTGCTCTAGGAACTGTGGTTATTAATGTAACGGGAGAGGTCAAAAAGAGCGGGACCAAACTACTGTTGAGGACTATATACACAGTTACTCTTATTTGGGTTTTGAAAATAGAAAGCATCCACACCACACATTTCATTTAACCTGGCCAGAAATGCTAAGCTCAGGTTCCTAATGCATAAATAAGTCCTTAGTGACAAGGATGACGCAGACTCCATTGGGTTCTAGTGACCTTACCAGAAACTGTCTTCAGAATATTGCAGTTACTAGCTAGGAATAACAGTCCCATTCAGGTGTCCTTTGGAGCACACAATAAAAACATTGAGGGTATAAAAAGCACTTGGTTGTCTCCACAGGTTAGTGATGTCTGGAACTTGGGGGGTTGTAAATCCAGTCCATTACAATGAGAGTCATACTCACAATCATGAAGATTATGCCAACTATAAGAAAAATTAGAGCCTGTAATTGGAAAATAAAATTGTATTAGTGAAGAAAGTGACTGAGCAGATGATGGTTCACAGACATTGAAATCACATTTATATAATGTCCAGGGCCTGAATTTAGGTTTTTCTCTGGGACTAAACATAAGTAATACCATACAGGGCTATGTGCATCAAGTTAATTATATGTAAAATTTCAGTCTAAAAAGGCTGGACTTTACAAGAGCAAATTTAAGGAATGAAAAAAAAAAAACAAAACAAAACTCCCACAGTTTTGTTAATGTGAATAATAACACAAAATATAACTGATTAACTTTTTTTTTTTTTTAATTTAAAAATTGACTAATTTTCAGTGAATGTTCATTGTTTCTGCTACCAAGAACAGCTTGAATTAATCTTTTTCGTCCTTATTAGACAAACAGGTAAGCCCATCTCTTTTCTCTGAAGGCATTTCTGTGTGTATTAAAATGATCCAGATGCTTACTTTTCCCCTTTGCCTCAGTGGGGCTTTAGCTTACCCTAATCTGTCCACACTTAACAATATTCTGCATCGCAACACAAAGATGAATATTGTGTGTGGTCTTAGTGCAGGGTATGAAATTCTAGATGTGCCTAGCACAGAAACACAAAGAATGAACAAAATGGCATGAACAAATATTCAAAGTCTCTCTCTAATGATAGTTCTTGCAAAAGTTGTCTTCAGAAATCATTTTATGATAATAAATCTTTCCTTTATACTTTCATTATGTACCAATAGAAATTCTTCCATCCCAATTAATTTGCTTTTTGTGAATGTATATACAGATGTACATATGTACTGTTTACATGATGTGCATGCATATACATTTCACCAATATCTTTTCTGAGTAATTTTTCAAAGGACATGTCCTCAGTGATATTGTTAAGTGTGCAGATGACTATTAATGTGAGCATTAATGCAAAGATAAAAGGTACTGCTGCAGCAGTCCAGCGTGACAAAAACACGTGCTGTGTATAAATGATAGACATTCATATGTATCTCCTGTAGGTACGTGAATCTATCCCAGTGGAGAACTGACATCTCTCTATCACTGCATTATCTCTGCAGTACAACCTCCTTCTTAACCTTGACCTCAGATCTTCCTGTTAATCCACAGCTGGCCTTCCAGCATCAACCAACAGCTCCTTATGCACTGTTTAGGTATTGTTTATACAAGTGCAGGTGTTAACTAGAGCTGACTGGATTAACTAAATGCCTTTTTCTAGTGATAAAAGACACACTTTAAACTAGACCCTTACTGAAGTTTACTTATCACTAGCAGTGGAGCCCTAAACTCTTTGGTTCGTGTACCCTGGCTCTCCCTGCTACTGTGAACAACGCTGCCCGACCTGTGTTTTGTGTGATCCCTGGCCATTTACGATCAACTGCCAGATGTTGCAGGTCAAAGCTCTAGGATTTGTGTCCAGAGAAAAGCACACACACTCCTATCATCCTTCTTTTGCAATTGCTGCCAGCATCCTTACCCCAATCTTCTGGGGAGAGCTCAGGGACTCCTTCTTAACGAGCCGCAGGTAGAAGGCTGAGGGGAGGATGAAAATCAGCATGGTGGCAGAAGAAGCACCTGGAAGAGAAAGTGGAGCTGAGTACCGTGGTGTGATGCACAGCTGGCATGGTGCATCTGCAAGGTGCAACAGGACGTGGGGCATTTGTACAGAGCTCTCCTGTGGTCACCCATGACCTCCAGAACTTCTATTCCAGGATGCAAAAGAGTTTGCTCTCTGGTTGGGGAATAATTTCAGTGGGGTTAATGGGGTCTGATTTGGGACATTTTCTTTGGAGTCCTACGGTTCCCTTCTTCTGCTGAGGCCCATCCTCAAGGGCAGCATAGAGATGGCCAAGCACTTATTTGAGTACTCAAATAAGAGGCTGAAGAAGTAGGCACTCACTGCCTGTGATGTAGATGTCCACATGTGAGCTGGCCAAGTGGGGACAAACCATTTTTTATCAGTTTTTATACTGGGTTTATTGAATTCCTTGATCTTCATGCAAGTTAGCAACAAAGGTGGATATCATTCAGCTTTGCCTGTCAGCTGTTTGGGAATTCCTATGTCCCTTTTAACTGATACAAAATCAAATCTGCATTTTTTTTTATTCCACTCTAAGACCCAAATGGAGATTGTCATTCAGTCCACAAATGCAAATATGTTGTGGAAAGGATAAGCACAGTAAACAAAATGTATTTATGAAACCTACCGATAAATCCAAAGATGTCTTTAATAGTTGGGACGAAAATCACCAGCAGGTTATTAAAAGCAAGAATTACTGCTGCAATCAGAAAATGTCTTATCCAGCTGAATGGCCTTTTGGGAAACAGCAATGCACTGATAGATGAACGGATCTGTAAGATGAAAACCATCAGGGAAAGCAGTTAACAACAGTTAATTTATCTTTGCTGTTTTAATGACCTATGCTGGTTACTTTTGCTGTGAGAAATTCTGACCAAAGAAATGTGTTTTCAGTCTTTGACTCCCTTTATATAAATCTCTCTTTGGTGTAGGTCTTTGAGAACTGGGTTCACAGTTTAGTGCAGAAACTCAAATATTTGCAGTGTAGAAGAAAGACAAGTAAATAGGGTGTAAAATCAGGGAGATGAAATCTGCTCAACTGAAAGATGCTGGTATCAGCGAAAGAAAAAAACAAAACACACACACACACACAAAACCAAACCAAACCAAAACAAACACACACACATACACACACACACAAACAAAAAAAAAAAAAAAAAAAAAAAGGAAGCCCCCACTATGAATACTAATCATCAGGCAAAAAATACATGGATGAAATATGAGTTGCTGTCTTCCAGAACCTGATCCCTCTGAAAATCCCACAAGAGTTCTGCAATTTACTTTTGTGAGAGAAAGAGCAATCTTTTGTTTTACTTACATTAAGTATACAAATATACATATGAATATATGTATATGTAAAAGCATCTTTTGCAATGTCATTTGGAAATTATATATATAAAATTATATATGTATGTATAAAAGCTGTTGCAGAGGATCCTTTTTGCTTCACTTTCTCACACAAGAAAGAGGTTTTTCTTCATGAGATGGAAAGTAGGAAAAAGGTCAGCTGCAAATCCCTTTGGTGTCAAGAGATAGTCTTACTCTGAAGTACTGAAGCTTAGAAGACTTGGAAGGTAGAAGTTGAAAAAAAGTGTGCTTACACCGGAAAAAACCCTCAAAACTAACTTATTTTTAGTTGTTTTAAAACAAAGCAGTTTCTGTATGAGTTTGGCAACTCAGTAAGTGTATGGAGTTCTGTCAGACTTGGAGCCTGTCATTTGGAAACGTGGAATGAATTTTGCACGTTATATTTTTCAGGTTGGTGTGACAACATGTTATGGAGAAGAAGGCAGATTGCAAAACTTTTGTCTGGTTCCTCAGTTGGTATAAAACCGTATCACCCCACTAAGGAGTCACTGCCTGCATTCTTGTTCACTTGCTGTCAGCATCCTCTGCATTATTTCTGCTGTGATGTTATCCATAAAATGAAGCTATCAGACTGAAATTTTACAGTCAGTAATGTTTTTTACAGTGACTAATTGTACACAGACCTATATTTATTTATTTATTTATTTATTTTGATAGCAATACAATTTTTTTTTTTTGGGGGAGGAGGGGGGAGGCTGGCTGTCCTGATGGGCCATACAAAGTTGTCTAATATACTAGTTTTAAAGAAAATGACATTTTCTCTGGGCTTTGATATTTTCTCTCTCTCTCTCTTTTTTTTTTTTTTTTTTTTTTTTAATAGAACAATTAGTGCTGTGGTATGTAAATGCTAAGCCTTTGTACACTATTTGGATATAAAAATAATTATGCAGAGAGCTAAAAATGCAAAATACTGCATCTGACAGATAGAGGCTTTTGCAATGCTTAGCTTGTTTTCCCATGAATAGTGCTCAGCTAGCTAAGACAAATTTAAGCACTTAAGTCATTGGCTTAAACGTGACATCTGGGGAAGAGCGTCAGAGCACTCTTAGCTAGATGTACTGATTGCTGTGGGTACTTTAGACCAGGACATATTTTGTTTTGCAGGCAAGCTTGAGTGGTGATCACTGCTGTTAAGTATTTGCCAGCGAGCCTGGAAGAAATACGTATGCAGAGCTTGTGTTTGCATCCGGGACAGTGGATTATCTCTTAGCAGACACTAACATCAGACCATGATGAAGATCAACAGGAACCTTACTGCAGCGTGGTGCTGGGCTGGTGTCTGCCCCACCAAATGGGGTGCCAGTCCCCCAGAACTCACTGGCTAGCACTATTTTCTCCCTGGCAGCCGGGGGAAGGCACGGAGAGTCATGGTCTGAGCTGTGTGCACCCTTGTGAGTTTGGGTGCTGTGGTAGGTGCATATGTCTGTATTAGGAAATCTTATAGGTGGTTTGACTACATACCCAGTCCTCAGTATGCACACTGCTGCTCTGTTAAATATAGCACAGGGAGAGCCAAGGCGGTCGTTGCTGATTTATTTGTGATTTATTTATAAAGACTGATTTATTTCAGTCTTTCAAAGTTTGCAACCCTAGCTGCCAAAGGTTCTTGCTCTGGGCAAGCTACGTGTGAGAAAACTGACCCTGCCAAATCAACACTCAGGCCTGCTTTTCTTTAATGTTAGTTAACCTATCCTAAGTACCCACAGTTAGTGTGTATGGGCTGTGCCCAATTTCAGCTCCAGGAGCTCTGTTACTCACAGGGAAAAGGACAAGGGGCACAGTCAGGGTGACAGCCACCAGCACTGCGAGGCGAACAGACAGAAGGAGGGTGTCGAAGGTGTACACCTTGGTGTACGTATGAAGTAGCTCATCTTCAACTTCTCCTACAAAAAGGAAACAGAGAGGAGTTGAGTGCCTTAAGCAGTATCTGCACATGCAAAAGGGAAACCTTTGTCCTGCAGCCCAACAAGATTAGCTCTGGCCCAGCTGCTGCCATCAGATCCATGTTACAGGCTGGGCACGAAAGAGGAATTTTCCCAGCATGTCTGATGCAAGTCCATCATTCAGAGGCGATGAGGGTAACACAGCTGTGAGGTGATGCTTTTGTACTCCAGCATCTCAAATGATTTTCTCAAAGTCATTAGGTTGGTGTGGAACCTGAGGCAAAAATAATTTCTCTGTTACGAAACAGAAAACAACCAAGTGAACTGGGAACAGATCCCTGGACCTCCACCCAAGTGTCCCAGCCCTCTCACCACAGCAGTGTGCTGCAGGTTGTGCTGTGTCATTCACATCTGTGCCGTAACAGAGGAACTAACAAGGTAAAAAGAGGTGCTGTTTGCATAAACTGGTGTGCTAATATAGGGGCTACTCTGTTTACTTACCGGTTAGTCCTGCTCATCCTTATTTTCTTTACACTAGAATGGTCTGCACCTGTTTTTCAGCACAGGTGAGGCTGAATTAGTGGCGTCAGAGCCTGGGTGGGTAGCTCTTAATAGTGTCATGTAAAGCTGTTGAACATTAGAGTATTTTTGGTTTTGCCACTCCTGGACTTTGCAAGAGCCAGGTTTAAAGCAGCTTTCTGTCTGAGTTCACAAAACCAACTGCTCCTACTGCTAGGTAGCCCTGGGACTCAGGGTGGGTGAGGAGCTTGTGGCCTGACAGCTGGATAAGTCTCACCAGTTATGCAGGAGGTTACAAACAGCACATTATTTCTGGGTAATGCTTGTGCATGAATCCAGGCCCACAGAAAACACATGAACACTTGAGCCTACATGTGGTAAATCCATCTTGCCAGATTCAAAATGGGAGGGAAAATTCTGGAGAGAACAGGGTTTTGACCTACCATAGAAGGTAAGATATCCAAAGAGACCAGCCAGAAGATACATGATGAGCATGCCGGTGATGGAGATGTTTGAGACATTCTGCATCCGCTTTCGGGAGCGACTAAGTAGGAGAGAAAGGGTAACAGTGCTGTTCTTACAAAGCCTCTATTTGCACAAGTACTCTGAGGAGCAGTAAGTTCATAGCAACTATGTGAGTTATACAGATCCCCTGAAGCTTCACAGCTCTGTGCAGAACAGCGCAAAAATAAAATTTTCAACAGAAAGTTTCAATAGAAACTTCACTTCTACTATTTACTTGGTGACAACATGTAGATGAGCCACATCATTATTTCTGTGTCAATCTCAAATGATGTATTTTAAATAAAAAATGGAGTGTCTACAATTACAGGGCTGGTAACAATATTGAGACAAGAACTTTCAGCCAGCTTTGTATGAACATGCCCTTATATTTACAGAGAACTGTTCTGTAGGTTCAAGAACCTCCTGCAGGTCAAATCCTTTCTTTAGAGATCCCTTGGTTAAAGGGATCCCTTCAGCTTATGGTGCCTGAGAGCAAATTCCAAGTCATCAGAAAATGTTTACTTCTGAGGTTAAACATATTAAAATAAGAGGCAATGGGTCTTGGTCTCCTTGAGTTTTGCAGCACAACCTCCTGTAAGGTAATTCTTGTTTCTGGACGAGTGCATTTTCTTAGCCCTTCCCAACTGTCAGCTCTGTGCTAGTTTAAGCAAATGTATCTGATTTTTGATATATAATCATCAAAACAGACCAGCTTAAGAGTCTATATAAGACACCCACACAAATGGCATCCCAGGAAACTTTAAAAGTAAGCAACAGCTGACCCAGGCACAGAACTGATTAAGATATTTTTAGAACCCAGAATTCTCTGTTTCAGCACTGTCTGTTTTGCAGTCAAATTCCCCAATATATCTCATGTCATTCAAAGGACTGTCCAGACTCCTTCTTTCCTAAGTAAATATCGATCAACATGTCTCTCTGAACAGCGGCTCTTTGTCACCGGTATCTGACTAATAGGTGAAAGCAAAGCCGATATCTGTTTACTATGGCACACAATAAATCATTATTGGGTGGGTGTCTACACACCAGCAATCAAGGCAGAACAGGTAGAAAGTGATCTCTGTTATGGGTAACTGGAAGGATGGGACAAAATTTAAGAACCTTACTCTTTCAGTTCACTGTATATTGGTAGCACCTCAGGGTGGCATACGAATGCAAATGCCAGGATGGGTATTGCATAGGCAGTCTGTAAAATAAAGCTCCCATTAGTAAGAACGGTCACTGCTGTATCTCTGACTTTTGGCAGGCAGCAGTTTAGCTGTGGTATGAATGGCAGAAGACAAATTCTACAGGATCTCTCTTACCCGTGAGTTGAAGACAAAGTATTTGGGCTGACACAAGTCGTTACTGTCGCTGTGTGCTTCATATTCTACACCACTTCTGGGGGAGGTATCTCTTGGCTCCTCAAGGCCTGGCATGTGCCCAGCTGTGTTGTCCATCATGAAATTCACACCAGAGCTGAATGACTCATTTGGTAACATGATCAGGTGCATCGGCACTGTGTGATTGGTGGCTGTCCAGTTTTCAACCCCGTGCGCCATGATGGGGAGAGGACAAGGTATTTGGGATTTCTTGAAGATTACCTACAAAAGAGTAGACAATGTCATCAGAAGAGTACTATCATAAGAGATTACATTTATACCCATGATAAGCCAACAAGAATAAAAATAGACACGCAGAAGTGAGAGGAGAAAGAGAGGAGGCAAGAAACAAACTGTTATCACTTCTGCTTCTCCTACGAGTATTTATTGTTACTCTAGTTCTGTCACTGCCCTGCTTTATATTTCATCCTTTTAAGTGTTGCTTTTTAGGCTGATTTTTTAAATCTGGTTTTGTTCAGCACTAGGCTTGTTGATTAGATTCACTTGCAGGTGCTACTCTAACATCCACAATAAATTGTTATGGTAAGAGATTTAGCAGTGTTGCACAATTTACAGGCTCTGTATTTGGTTAGAGACAAGTCCTGAATGGTAACCTACCACACTGACAAAGAAAACCATACAGGTCAGCGAAAAACCACTCGTATAACCAAGATAACCTGTGAAGCAAGAAAAAATATGCAGTTCAGCAGCATATAAATTCACAATCCTAACAGAAACAAGAAAAGAGGTTAAATGGGAAATTAACCTTACCTAAGGTTTTTAGAAGGGAGAGGGGAAGAATAACCCCAACTGTTACAAGTATAACGAGGTAGTTCCCATTTAGGTACCATTCTCTGAAGAGAGAGAATTAAAAACAAAAACAATAATTACCATTGACACTGAAGTGAAAAATTGTCATCTAAAGGTCTGGTTGGACAAAGGTACTTACCCAGAATTCTCCTCGAGTTTCATAAATGCTCTGATCACTTCAGGAAGTTCATATTTAATAATAAAGAGGTAGCTTGACATTGCTGAAAAACAAGCAAACACCTTCAGGGAAAACAGTATAATTCCAACAAAATAATTTGTTTTTAAAAACATTGGTGCTATATGAAAAGCATACAGTTTCAATAAGTCAGTTTTTGCTAAAATGGAGAAATGAGTTTTGTTCAAATAAAGAAAAATATTTTGTAAATAAAGAAAAGGTATGTTCTCTTGATATTGTTCTTTGATAAACAAGTCCTGAATGACATCTAGCATTTAGCCTTAGAATACAATAGCCATTACTCAACTAAAAACATATTATAGTCAGCGTTATGAAATGTACACTTTCAAAGTTTTCTTTTGCTTTTCTGCTCTGTTTTTCCAGTGGACATCATCCATCTACTTTTTTTGTAGTGACTTTGGTTGTCAGTTCCTCAAAACCAATTTGTCTCTCTTGTGCCCTCTATTTCTAACTTCTTCCTTCCAGTACTCTACTCCATATATCTAAAAAGCTAGTTTTCAATATTCACGGTGGAAGGGTCGACTTCTATATATCTCATTGAAATCTACTTGCAGAAGACATGATTTTTAAAGTTATCTTATATTGGCCACAGAGAGTTCTTTGGACACCTATGGATCAACCTGGACAGTAAGTTGAAAACCACTGGACTACAGGAACAGCTATTCCTCTCTCTCAGGGAAACATTCTTCCTTCAGTTCAACCACATTTAATATCCAGGCTTGGGGAAGGAAAGGAAGACCATGGAATAAGAGCTTTTATGAACACAATCAAAAAAATCACAATCAAAAAGTGTTTCAATACAGAAGAGATATGAACCACATCTGTCTGGGTAGCAAATATGCTCCAAAACAACAGTAGAAATTTGTTACTAAAGATTTGCGAAACATTCCAAGTTCCATGACAGAGACTAGAAAAAGATATATGTTTCATTGACTAATAATGCATCATTAGTCAATGATAATATTTATAGTGATAATCACAGAATCATCTAGGTTAGAAGAGACCTCCAAGATTACCAAGTCCAACCTCTAGTGCAATAATAATGCAGCTTCTGTCAACTACCTCTCCTGAAGAAATCTGGAAAAAATGTACAAACTCCCCTAAGCTTTCTAATACAGTGTTCTCCAGTATCCTAAAAGGTTTCTCCCTGGGTAGTAAAAGGAAATAAGCTTTGGTGCTTGAGCATGCAGTCCTATGCCTGCTACTTATGCCTGCAAGTAGATTGTCTCCGTTCTGAGAGGACGGAGGTTGCTTGATAGATACTTCACAGGAATTATCCTTGTGGATGAATACTTTCAATGATCATTCTCAACCACCCAACATCTTGGAGAGATCACAGTCTAGATGTGTTTTCAAGCAGAGAATTTAGTTGGCAAATTAATTACTGAAGAGCTTTTCTTCTCTGGAGAAGTCAGTACCATGGGCTTCTCCTTTTATGTGGGATTCATCTTTTCTGACTTGAGGAAGATGTCTTGTCTGAGCCATGGTCAATGAAGAGAAATGGCCAAGCCATCCTTATGAAAAGGATAATGCATATTGTACCCTTCTCATCTCTGATTCTGTTTAGTCAGAGAGAGGAGAGAAAGTACTTGTGCTCTGTAGAAAAGCACTGGAAGGTAGAAAACCTTTTTTTCTAAATACTTCTTACCCTTACCTCCAATATTCTGCATTGTAACCGAAATGAAAACACCACACTTCCCAGGCCATCCAAATGCCTTTTCCCCCAGTTTTTCATATATTAATGAGCCTGAAAAAATAATAAAAAATAAAAATAAACATGGGCCACTACATTGGGTACTCTTGATGAATTGCATTCCAAGGTAAAAAAACGTGCATGTGACTTTTGGTCAGTCACAACCTGATCTTCATACCTCCTTCTTTTGATGTCTTCAGTAAGAGGTGGATGGAGTAGAGTGACAGTATTGCTACACAGAGCAGCAGAATTCTGCAAGGCAAAGCAGAAATTGGAATCCCGTTTAAGACATCAGAAACACTCAGTTAATTTGAATGTATGCTTGTTCTCAAATTTTTACATCTTAGTAAGACTCAACTAAAATAAAGAGATCTCTGTGCAAGAGTCAGGTCTTTGGTCTCTTACTAGCTCATTGACCTCTCCTTTAAATCTCTCTCCTAATGCAGATTTAAACAAACAAACAAACAAATAAACAAACAAAAACACAAGCAAACAACAAACCAACCAACCAACCAACCAACCAAAAAAACCTAGCAAATCCAGAACTGTGTGACAACTTCACTGTCAATTTATGCCTAGACTTCTGCCATTTTACCAAGTAATCATGAAGTTGTAGAGCTTAGCTTTAAATGTACACTTTGCAAATTACATAAGAAATCTTCCATGGTGCTAAAAAGTGTCATGACACTGGAAAACCTGCTTTTGGAGAATTTGCAGCATTCTCTTCCAGCCTAGTTTACTTAAAGGTACTGGTGCCTCCCTTCATCAATTCTGATTACTGACATATTCCTTCTACACAACATTGCACACTAAGTGATTTCAGCTATCATCCTCTCACAAAATACTGGCAAAAATCATAGCTTTATATGACATTTTCAGGGCACAATAATGTGGGCAGCATATCTTATTACCGCAACCATCTTGATGTCAGCCTGTGCAAATGTTGGGCAGAAGGGGATGTGATGACATGACAGAGCTAGGAAATACTTACTCTACTGATGTCCGCTACTCCATGGCTGAACAGGAGGTTGTGCCTACACCTTCTATTCAACTGAATGCAAGGTTTGGTATAAATATGGGAGACACTGATAACTAAGTTTGTAAATGAGTTATAGTCTAAGAGGAGACATAGGTGTAGGGGTCAGGTGATGGTCTCCAGACCATGTTTCTTTCTCCAAGAGAGACAGTCAATGCTACAGACTTCATGTGAGTAGGGTTGTCTCTCATGCTGTGGGTGCATGCTGTACAGAAAGGGGTGATCATGTCTGAGGCTGCAGTGTATCCTTCCAGGATGGCATCTTTCTCAATGGCACCCATGCAGCTGCTATGCAGAGACATGGTCTCTAAGTCCTGACACATGGGGTGCAGCTATAGTAAACTAAAGCCTACCTGGTGACACTTCCTGAATACTGCCAGGCAGCAGAGACATTCTGGTGTGTGGCCCATGCCAATGGAAACCTTCCCCATGGCAGAGGAGGATGTAATGGGAGCTGCTGGGGAGCTTCTGAGTTTTAGAAGCCCTCTTCTTGGCTTTACTGTGTAGAAAATCTTCCAGCATGAGAGTAGTTGGGCAATATGAGAACCATAAATTAACTGCTGCCAACATAGTCTAAATTAGAATTAATGTACGTCAGCTTCTATTTAGTAGATGGAATTTTTCTGTCCCACTGACACGAACGTCATGATCTGACAGAGGAAACTCTGGCAAGGGGATGCATGCCATGGGGGTAACAATATCCCTACAGAGTTCTACAATTTAAATAAAACTCCTTCCTCCACCAGAAGGGAGAATGTTCTCATGCACAAAGTATGGAAGTAGAACAGAAAAGAAAATGAGCTGTAGGGTGGAGACATCCTTTGTTTTTACTATATAAGACTCCATAGGGTTGCTGTAGCATTTCTGCAGGGTTGCCAGCAGAGCACTTCTTTAGCACTGCCAGCAGAGCTAATGTCATTAGGTTCACATCCGACTTTTTTTCAGTCACTCTTGTGAATGAACAGAGCCCAAAGAATAAAAATATTACAAAGGTAATGTTTTTTTTTTTTTTTTTTTTTTTTTTTTTCCTTCTCTCCCCAACAAAGCTTGATGTATCAGTTTTCTTTCCAGCAATAATTTATGGTATATCGGTTAGCACGAGTGCTCAGACAAAGTTGGGGGAAAAAATCCTACATTTTCCAGACTCTAATGCAGTCACTTGTAGAAGTATGTTCCATTTTGTATTTGTAAATCCTATATCTAAATTATTCAAGTGCAGGTGCTGGGAAGTACTTACCCAGGAGAGTGGCAGCATTTGCATCTACAATTAATTTTCAGTTATAGATTCTACTGGAAAAAAACAGGAGGTGTTTCTTAGCAACTGGCAGCAACGTGTAGCATTTCAAATGCTGTTGCTGTTCTAGTTAAACAACCTCCAGAAGAAAGAAGCCACACAGAGGTAGCCATACAACCTGATTTAGAGGCTTGTTAAGAGTTCAGCAATGTACAACAATGGCCTATTGTCATATGGTACTGTCATACTGCATTCCAGCCTAAAAGGGGGATTAAAATTAAGGGCCCCAGTTAAGATTAAAAATGATTATTAAAACAAAACTAAACCAAACCCACAAACCTTTTGTAGTCTCATTTGACAGGGTTAGCCATAGATTAAAGAACTTCACAAGAATATCTATTACTGTCTATCAAAACCCATTCTGTATAGACACTGCGTGTCAGCCACATACCTCTGCAGTCATCTGTGCACACCAAGTACAAATAGACTGGGGGAGCGGCACCAAATCTGAAGAAATCTGTGCATGCCTTTGCATTCAAAGCCTACTGCCATTTCAGACTTGTATCAAATATTCTTCTCCCATTTCTACACAGTGATTGGATAGTTAGGATGATGTAAATATGTACTTCATGTGTGATTTATTGCCTTTGTAGAATTCCCATAATGAACCAGCAAGATTGCTGTTGTTATTTTGGGACCAATATACTGTTCTGCCTCTCTATTTTTTTTTGGACTACACAGCATTAATGGACAGTTGCGTTCCTGAAACAAAACAGGGCTAAAGAAAAACAAAAATGGTTTGTCAGCAGTGGATGGCTCCTTGCAGAGCAGCTAAAATATTTTCATTATAGAAGGTCTTACAAAACATTTCAGCTAACAAAACATGGCTCTTAAGCTTAACTTACCTCTCTAACCGCCCCAAGAAAAATAACTCTACCTCACTGCTTATATTCTATTCACTTTTCTCTCTATGTACTTACACAAAAAGGATAATTCCTGTGTTGGCCATGGCATAAGACAGCCCTAAGATGCCACTGCCCATAATGGCATTGCTGAGGTTGAACGAAGACATGCCAAAGGAAGCTCTGCCCCGGTGCTGTAGGGAACAAAAAGAGACATTACAACTAACTTGCATTTTATTGAGCGCAGTGGGCTAATTGTCCTCACTGCTGTTTTTCCCTCTATTGATCTCTTGATCCTTAGAGGAGGAGCCTTGTGAAGACAACAGTCTGCTGAGGTGAGATAGCCACAGCTGTCTGACTGCTGGCCAGCCTCTATAGAAACACATGCTGCTATCTAATAGATTTCCCAGTTACTGTTTTGACAAGTTCAGATGATTTACTTAAAAAGCAATTCAGCCATTTCCTGAGTTTTTCTCCAACTAAGATGTATTACTTTCTCTATGGAGCTAAAAATGTGTCAGGGAGCAGGGTGGAGTGCGAAGGAGGAAGGTCTGCGTGGCTCAGGTGGGGGGAAGGACAGTGGAGAGGATAAAAAACAGGAGGCAGGAGATGGTGTGTGAGGGAGTCACACCCGCTGCCAAGTGGGAAGGGATGCGGGAATCTGGCTCTTAATTTTAACTTGCAGTTACAAAGAATATTCTTTTCTTTAACTGGATGGTTTTATTTGAACAATCCTAATAAAATATGTAACATGACCAGTAACATAATTCCTTTCTTTGTCATCAACTTCAGGATAACTTTGAATAATGTTGAGCACAGATAACCACAAACACACCCCAGAAACCTTTTCTGTCTTGCCATTTTCCTGTGGAGTTGCCTACAGAGATGGAGGAACACTGCGCCTGTTGTGCTCAGCACTGCAAAGCTGAACACGAGTGTCCCGTCTTTCAAGGAAGGCAGCTGGGTGTAGTTTCCCTTACACAGATGCTGGAAACAAGCAGTACAAAAGCTAGGGCCCACCTCTAACTAGAAATGGACAGCCCCAACCCATGCAGGACATCTTGGGTTGTCCTACTGAGTCTGAGTGTGAGCTGAGGAATTTTTCTGATTGCTTGGGAAGGGAAGACCCAGCTTTACTTGCAAGACAACAGAAAGAGATTTCTGTGCTAACTGTTAGAAAATGTGTTTACTCTTCCAAAGCCAAGATTATGCTGATCAAGCTCCAGAGTAACTTCGTTTATTGAAACTTTTGGAAAATTATTCAGGTCAATATGATTTAATTGTAATTACGCTTAAAAATGAATAAAACTTACATATTCTTCATTATAGTCTTCCAATTTCTTTTTACCCAGATATCCATTTGTAAGGAACTTCTGACTTTCTGCATCATCACTAGCAAATGGACTGAACAAAAAGAAAAATACAAAAACATTAGATAAGGCTTATGACACTTGTTCTATTCAATCATTGCTTTTGGTCATTAGATGAAACTTTCCTTTGGCATTGCAATGTATATTTAGAGGTCCTTCAGAAAAAAAAAACAACACACTTTTTTTCTCTTGTTGCCCTCTATCCCACGCCCTGGCCAGGGCTGCCCCTCTCCTGAATGGCTGCAGCACAGCGGGAATGTGCTCAGCTCGCAGTGCATTGCGTGCATATCAATTTACACGTTGATTTGTGCAGCTGGGGTGGCTGGGAGTTGCAAAGTGAGTGCTCAGGGTTGGGAGCCTGCAAAGGTCACTTCAGGCAGTGGCCTGCACAGGGCACCCTGGGCTGCCCCTGCTCTGCTGGGCACCGCATCTGTCGAGCGCAGAGCGGGGAGGCTTGGTGCAGTTGGAAAGTGCTAGCTAAACAATCACACTAATTTCAGCATATTACCTAGGAAACGTTTTGAGTCCCAGATGCCATTAGTGAAGCTCGTTTTTCAATTACTGTTTTTTAGCCTTAACAGAACAGCCTTCCCATTTAAACGCTTACCTACTAATTGCAGCCTTTTCTGAATCAACCAGCTCCGTGTAGTTGTCTTCGAGGCTTTCCCCGCTGTTGCTCTGATCGTCGAGCTCGATGTTGACTTTTTGCAGCTCCATGCGATCCATTAGAGTGGTCAGCGCTTTCCAGCACACACACTCACTCCTTCAGGGTAAACAGCACTGCAGCGCTTGCCTGCTGGTTCTCCCTACCATGGGGGGGCTGCCAGAACACTCTGTTCTGCAAACAACACACAACAGGACTCATTACAGTTTTCCTCAAATTAGATAAACGAGTGTGAAGCATTGGTTTTGTGTTTGTTCTCTGTAACAGCATTAGGAGAGGAGGCTGTTGCAGGCTGGGAAAATTCTGGGCAAGCATAATGTTCCTTTATGTGCCAGCACTTAGCCCCTCTGTCTCCCTTGAAATTGTGGAGAGGGCAGTGGCCAATAGATGCACAGTGGATGCCCAACATCTGGCAACATTACAGAAACAGAAGAAAATAGTTACTGGAATTGCTGTTTTTGCATTGCAAGTGATGGCTATGCAGAAGCTGTCACTGTTAGAAATGAACGGAGTATATCAGGGTTTCACTACCATTGCTTCCAAACATAAATACACTTTAGGGAAACTCTTAGTGTTTTGAATCATTTGTTATAAGATTAATATTGTCAGTTTTAAATGTCTTGAGGATTTGTCCCCTTTGCTGGGTTCTGTCTGAGAAGGCGACTATGTCTGCATGATTTACTTTGATAATGAGGAGGTGCAGTTCTGATATAGCAGCTTCTGTTCTTCAGAATATCTGTGTCTAATCCTTACCTGTCCCACAGCTGGGAGATCTGTCTCACACAGGGTTTTAAACAGGTATAAGATTCATGATCTTTACCTTTGTCATAAAAATTCCAGCTTTTAAAATTCATATGAATAAATGCTCAGCTCTCTCTATGAATTGAAGGAAAATGTCCAAATCAAAGTTACAAAAAGGACTTCACCCCCAGGATTTCAGCTCTTGTTAGTTTCATCTTCTGAGAAATTTACATTCAATTGCTCATTCCCACATTCAGGAGGAAAACATTCTGCAAGAAACTTTGCAGTTTTACAATACTCTTCCCTTCCTCAAGATACTCCTTGAGGCACCTTGCATCTCCATTTCACAGCTGGGGAGACAATGGAACACAGCAGGGAGGGGAGCGAGCAGAGATCAGGTAGCATTGTAATTGCTGGCACAGCTGGGGCCAGCCCTGCAGCCTCCTGGCACTTCACCTGCTGCCTCACAGTCAGGCACACTGGCTGGATCCATTACCTTTTTCACAAATATCACATGCTAATACAGACCAATGCTTCATAACAACATCAGAAAACATTGCAACTAATAATTTCCATGTCTGGCCCTTTGTAGCATTAAACTTGAATTTAAATTATTGAATAGCGTTTTTCCTGGTTTTGCATTTGTGCACGTGTAAGTCCTCTCTTGAGGACCAGACCTTCACTAGCTTCTGCTGCTGATCACATGCTGTCCTTAAGAGCATCTACAAATGTATTTGTAGTGACAAAATGTTAGAATGCATGGGCTTAAAATGTAAACACAAACTTTAAATACCAGTCCTGGAGGCTAAAACCAACCCTGGGCCAGAAATTTAAGTCAGCTTCCTTACTTCTCTCTAAAACCATCCACCCAGACCAGACAACCGAAAAGGAAAAGCAATATCAGAATGCATTAGGAGATTTCCTACCAGAGGACGCAGCTCTGTTTACTCCTTTCTGCTGCCACTTGGGGAGTGCGAGCGAGGGCGATGAGCGCCCGTGGCAGCAGGGCAGGCTCACGTTCCAGCGACCCGGGGATTCTGCCCAGTCGGGGTATGAATAACACCAGGAGACTAACAAAATTAAAAAAAAAAACTCCAGACCCTCCCAGCTGTGGCTTCATTCACTGAACTGTCTTCAAACGCAGACGCTGCCCTGTCCAGGGAACAGAGTCCTTCCAGCTCCTGAGGCTTATTTTTAATCTAATGTGTAAAAGTCAAGCAGGCACATCTGCCTGCTCTTAGCCCTGCTCTGATGAAATGCACGCTACCAAGTGCTCATTGGAGAAATGTCTTTTCCAGGAGCGGCAGTCCAAAATATACACATCTTCAAAGAGCTGGGAAACAGAAAAAATAAGCCAAAAAAGTTTCCAGGAGTTAAGTTACACAGAGGTTAGACTGAGCAAGAATTCTGTACAGCACAGCTAACACAGCTTGGAAAGGGGAGCAAAACTTGACCAGAAATATGCGTTACAGTGTAAGAATCATTTGGACATTGTCCTGTCAAACATTTACACAATGAGTAATCTGATTTACAGGCGTCATCACAAGAGGCTATGGAACTACTGCATAAAGCAGTGATTTTCAATATACTTTTTTTTTTTTTTTTTTTTTTTTTTTTTTAATTTGTGAATTCCTAAAAGTCTTCCAGTGAAGGTGCAAACACTTGGGTGGCAAAATTAAGCCTATCGAGTACTCAGCCACTTGCGGTTGTCACTATTTAGAGAGCAGCTGGTAGAGCTCCAAGGGTCTGCACAACTATGAGCTGAAAGCCATTGGCATAAATGTGGGCAGGATGAGACCCATCAAACAGACTCAGCACTAGGTTTGAATGCTGCTAATAACTTTGACATTAACTACAACCAAGAGTGTCTTTGATCTTCAGCAGGACTTGGCAGAGCCGTCCCTTAGTCAGTGGAAATCCATTTCCTGATGCTCCCAGCATTGCAAAAGACCCACAAAACTGAAGGGTTTGGGAGGATGTTGAGGTCTAACGTGCCAGTAACATGTGCCCCCCATGTACTTAGAAGGGACAAGCAAAGCAAGGGGGAACCACTACCACCCCTCTGCATGACCACACAGCCCTTGTGTTGCTGTTCTACCTGCGAGACGTTATTTAGGAGCTGGGGGATGTGCTAGCTGGCTATGTTGATAAGAAAATCATGGCTGCAGCAGCATGCTGCTCCCAGCCCAAGCTCCCTGTAAGGGCTGGTAGATGGGCATGTGCCAGTGCCAGGGCCAGGGCCAGAGCCAGCACAGCACAACATGGCCACCAAGGCCAGTCAGGCCTGTGCCCTGCCAGAACACAACTCCTCCCATGAGGTGATTTTCAGGTAAGCCAAAGGTCTGCTTTAGCTCCCCATGGTTTAATGCTTTCTGCTTCAGAATTGTGAATTTGGCACCTAAAACCCATTGCAGAAACCTAAACCCATCAAAATCTACCCAGCTTTGTCTCACTTCAGAATAATTTTGTAAGTTTGAAAGAAAGCAAAAATCTCTCCACTTCTTTTTCTTTCAGTTAAAAAAATGATAGTCTTTGGTTATATGCAAGAAAAATCTCTTAGCTATATGTTATTCCTTAAAGTTGGCTTTCAATATGGTGATGCATTTGCTGCTTCCTATGGCATTCTTCTAAACAGAAAAAAATTCTGAAAGTATTGCATTAAAATGGAAATACTGGTTGCAAAAGAGATTAGCCTATTATTAGAGGAAAGTTATTCCTTTTTATACAACTATTTTTCTGTTCAAATACAGGGTACAATTCTGCTTTGTTATTAAATAATGGTTTTCATAAACGACTCAGAAAATGATGATGATTTTTTTTTTTCTGGCGTCTGATAGCACAATGTTATTGATTTCCATCTGGTCTGCTGTTAGAACATTTAGAGAAGGGACAACCACCAGGCAAATCGTGCCAGGTCACAGATATGACTAACAGCATTTTTGTGGGTTTTGCAGTATCAAGATTTGTAAGCTCCACCATGGTATCTGATTTAGCAGACTTTGCCAGATTCTTCATCTTCATGACAGAGAGTTTGCAATGTTACTGTCTGCACAGCTATTTAAAAATGAAATAAGTGTTATCACTGTGAAATAAACAATTAAAATGCAAAGCCCATTTCCACAAATTCATTTATTTACTGGAATATTAGCCAAGTAAATCAAGAGCCTTGAAGTCAGCCAAAGGCTCCAAAGGAAAGTGAGCATTTATTTCTTAATTGTCTGGTCAATTTCAAACAACTCCTGCAACTTCTCTGGTTGCTTAGATTTTGTTTGTCCATATATATAAAAAAGAAAAATACAATGAAAAGACTAAATTTAATTCCTGAAGAAATTCCAAACATACTTGCCAACATAAACAACTATGTCAGTAAATCTTAAGGAGCCCATCCTTCAAATTACACTTAAATTTACATATTAATTGCATTTTTAATTCTCAGTTTTTGAAGATGTGGACAGTGTCTAAAATACATTGATTATGCATTGTAAAGGAAAAGTTTTAAGTTTACCTCTGAGCCAAGCTGGTTCTCTTGCTTGCTGGCTAAGCAGGTTCTGTCTTTTAGGATTTGCACCTGTAATGAAAAGTTTGCTCATGTGCAACCTAGAGCAGTTGGACAGTGATTTAAAGACAAATGGGAGTGTATCAGATGAGCCAATCAACATCTGCTACACCCCAACAACTCCCTTTGACAAATTTGCGTCAGCTCTTTTTAAAAAAAAGGGAAAAAAAAAAAAAAGAAGAAAGGTAAATCAGTTTATTGGAGCACACTGAGGGCAAACATCTCCCTTACCAGAGCTATTTGCTCTCAGAGCTTAGCACTATTACAAAATGCATCTCCGCAGAATGCTTCACCCAGGCTCGGCCATGCTTTCACTTGATAATCTTGAGTTCTGAGCCACCCATGCACATTAAGCTTGCAGCAGCACAATACCAATATGCCTTGAAAACGGCGTTTGGAAGAAGTAGCTGAGGGCTCCCACATGGCTCTTACCTCTGCAACTGCAGAGACACCTCTTGAAACGGCGGTGGGGTGTGCAGCAGGGCTTAGTCGGAAGCTTTCAACCAGGCTGGCTGACCTATGACTTAGTTTCCCAGTTGAAATATTTACCATAAGAGCAATTGTGGAGGTGTGTGTCAAGTGACAAATACTATTCATTTAACTGCAATATAGGCCCGTGGAGAACTACTTCATTATCTGCAATGTGACTGCTATGCTTCAGAATTTAAAACCTTTTATCCAATTACCTAATGACCAAAATTAAAAAAAAAAAAAAAGATACAAAACCAAAAGCCCACCTGCCTCTTTCCTTACCTCTCTCCCTCCCTCCCGTGTAGGCTTTGTGATTAAAACCCTGTAATTTTTAATTCCTATGAGTCCCTGTGGAGCCCTTCAGACTGTGTTAGCTCAGTTTGGGTGACAGCCTGCAGGGACCCAAGCACACGCTGCTGTAGGTAGCTGGGCATTTTTCCATGCTGTGTTTTCCTCTGAGCTGGTGCTGACTCATCAGAGCTGCAGCCACCCCAGGGGCCATGTCTGTTCCCATGAGATGTTGTGGGGACCTTCTGGGTGTCCCATCCCAGGTGCCTCCATCCCAGGGGAAGCATGGAGCTCCTGCCGACTTGCTACAGCCACAGACTATGGTGTGCCATTTCACGATCTCCCCCTCCAAAAAAATCTGACTTCCAATATAGCCCCAGACAAATAGTTTAACAAAAATAATCTTTGCCTCCTTCAGCTCTGCATTCCCATGAAAATGCAGTTGATAATGAGGACTGTTAGGCCAGAAGATGCCAAAAGCAGCACAAGGCAAATAGTGAGAAATGAAAGCTTTGCAGCCAGAGGTCCCGTCTTGTCTTAAACCTGTTAGAAAAATGGATAAAATTCTGGGGTTAGACTTGCTGAATGGACTTTGAATCTCAAAGCTGTCCGTATATTCCTTTGCATCAAATGGTCCAATAAAGGAAACAGACTCTCCCTCTAAAGCATATGGCACAGAAAAGGTGCCCTTAATACATTAAAGAAGTTCTCAGTTGCCTGAAGGAATCACGTTTTGGCACCAAAATGCTGATACCTTTGGGTAGATGTGTTGTGTTGCGAGAGGGGCTGGGAGGGGAGCCCTGTTTGCTCTGCACACTGACAGAGCCGTGGGTATGGGCGGTTTCCTCCCTGCGCTGTTGTTCATGCGGGTGTCTCATGTAACAACAGGGGAGAGAAAAACATTTCTTTAAACAAATGAAAATAGGATCGTAAACCATAAAACAAACAGCAGGGAGATTTGGGGACAGATGTACTAACAAATCAGCAACAGCTGTGAAAATTACTTTGGATACGTTTTTTTGGAACCTGATTAAAAAAATAATAATCAAGATGAGAGTTCATTTCCTTTTCAAATACCACAGATATCAATACCTATGTCTAACACCCATCAGTGGGGCATAATTTTCTCCAGGGCCACATCAGGGTGCTTTGGTGGATCTTTCTGCTGCATATGGATGGATGGGGGCATTAAGCCCACAGCGTTTGGTGGGAGTGCCCCTGCCCCAGCACCTGGCGCTCCAGAGATGCCAAGCACCATCAGCAATATGGGCAGGTGGGCCTGGCATAAACCGTCCTCATGCTTGTAAGAAATTTTGTCTGCAGAAGAGGAGACAGCTGTGTTAACATGGGGTTTCTTGACATTGCCAGTTCTTTCTGCTTACCCCTAAGCAGAAAATACTGGCTAGCTTTTTCTGTGAAAAAAAAAAACAACACAGCAGAGCAAATGTTGATGTGCAATCTTCAGCCAGAAGGAAGACACACTGCAACCTTTAGGACTGCAGAGCCCTTTCTATATCATGTCTTCAATATGCCTGTATTTGCTTTCACAGTTTCTGAAAAATAAAACTATGCATTTGCTAGGATTACTTGAGATTGTGCATGAGTTTAAAAACAAAAATATATTTTCTTGTTTCTAACAAAGAACAGGATTAAATTATTGATTATAATGTTCGAAACACAGTGAACAAAAGAAAGGACAACCTTGGAATATATGTGACACCCATACCTGGTTGCAGCTGGTGCTAGGTCTCTGTGAGACGTGTCTTTGCTACCAACACTTCGCTATCAGAGGAGCTTCCCATAATTTCAAAGAAAGTCCAAGCTCACTACATTTGATCAAAGCTCAGTAAAACTGCTAAATAAATCTCTTCATTCTCAGTTAATTAGTGGTACTGCCATACAAGCTCTAACAGTCACCTCAGTGTCTGCGGAGCCCCTCAGCAGGGAGAGCTTCCCTGCTGTGTGCAGACCTGTGTTTGCCCTTTCTCTTAGGATGCTAAGTCAACTGCAGCTAGAAC